CATCAAACCACATTGCACACACTTTAGTTTTCTCCTGAGAACTGGCCTTACGTCCTGCTTTCTTTGCTTGAATCTCCCTGTTTACTAGCCCTTTGAATATCTAAAAGTTTTACAGTTTTAGCTATTACATTTAGGTCTCTGATAAATTTTGAGTTAAATTTTGTAAATAGTGTGAAGTCAAGGTCCAACTTCATTTTTTTTAGTATATCGATATCTAGTAGTTCTACCACCATTTGTTGAAAAGACTACAGACTATATTTTCATCATTGAATTACCTTTGCCAAAAGTCAATTGAGGATATATGTATGGGGGTCTATTTCTGGACTCTGTATTCTGTTCCATTGATTATGTCTATCCTTAGACAGATACCACACTGTTTCAATTATTGCAGCTTTATAGAGAGTCCTAAAATTAGGTACTGTGAATCTTCCAACACTGTTCTTATTGAAAATTGTTCTAGTTATTCTAGGCCCTTTGTATTTCCATATCCAATTTCTGAATGCATTTGTGAATTTCTCCAAAAGAAAAGACCACTGCGATTTTGGGCAGCATTCCTTTGAATTTGTAGATAAATTTTTGCAGAAATAATAGTGAGTCTTCCAATTCATTATCATGCTATATCTTCCTATTTAATTGGGTATTCTTAAATTTCTCAGCAATAGTTTCTAAGCCTCAGCATATAAAATCTTGTGCATAATTTGTTAAATTTACCTCTAAGTATTTTTGATTCTATTAACATGGTACCGCTTTTTAAATTAGAATTTCTTCATTGTTTGTCTATAAAAATACAATTTATTTTTGTATACTGTCATTGAGCCCTGTCACCTTGCTGAATTCATTATTAGTTCTAATAGCTGTTTTTATAGATTTTTAAGGATTTTCTACACAAATGATATAGAGTCATCTGAGAATAATGACAGTTTTACTTCCTCCTTTTGAATCAATATAACTTTTACTTCTTTCTCATCCTTGTGCATTGGTTAGCTAACTCCAGCACAATACTGAATAGAAGCAGAGGAAGCAGACACCCTTGCCAGGTTCTCAATCTAAATGATTTTCATGATATTAATAATAGGTTTGCCATAGTTGCCATTTATCAGGTTAGGGAAATTTTCTCCTATTCATAGTTTGCCAAGAGTTTTTATCATGAATGGCACACTAAATGAGTTTTGAAGTATTCTATCCTCTTCTATTTTCTGGAAGAGTTGGTATAAAATTGGTACTATTCCTTCCTTAAATGTTTGGGAGAATTCAATAGTAAAACCATCTGGTCAGTCCTGCAGTTTTCTTGAAAACATGCAGGTGTGGGTGTGGGTGGGTGTGGTGTGTGTGAGAGACAGAGAGAGAGAGAAATTTTTTAATTAAAGATTAAAATTACTATGATGGATATAGAGCTATTCAAGTTATCCTTTCCGTCTTTTGTGAGCTTTGGCAGTTGGTGTCTTTCAAGGAATTTGTCCATTGTATCTATGCTTATTGGCATAAAAATGTTCTTAACATCCTTATCCTTTTAATGTCTTTAGAATCTGTAGTAATGACAACTCTTTCTTTTTTTTAATACTTTATTTTTGGTGAGGAAGATGATCCTGAGCTAACAAATCTTGCTTTTTCTTTTCCTCTCCCGAAAGCCCCAGTGCATAGTTGTATATCCCAGTTGTAGGTCATTCTAGTTCTTCTATGTGGAATGCCTCCACAGCATGGCTTAGGTGAGCAGTGTGTAGGTCTCTACCCAGGATCTGAACCAGCGAACCCCAGGCTGCCCAAGTGGAGCATGCAAACTTAACCCCTCGGCCACAGGGCTGGCCCCTTTAATTCTTGATATTGGCAATTTATGTCTTCTTTCTTTTCTTCTTGATCAGTCTGGCTAGAGGGTTTATCAATCATATTGATCTTTTCAAGGAACCAATTTTTGGTTCCTTGAAACTCTGTTCTTCTTCTGTTTCATTCCATTTATTTCTACTCTTTACTATTTCCTTCATTTTGCTTGCTTTGGCTTTGTTTTGCTGGGCTTTTTCTAATTTCTTAAGATAAATGTTTAAATTATTGAATTGAGTTCTTTATTCTTCTTTAATATAAGCAGTTAATGTATAAATTTTAACACATTTTCATTTTCATTTAATTCAAAATATTTTCTAATTTTCCTAGTGATTTCTTCTTTGATCAATGGGTTAATTAGAAATGTGTTACTTAATTTCAAAATAGAGTTTTTTTCAGATATCTTTCTGTAGTTTGTTTTTAGTTTAATTTATTGTGGTCAGACAATATACTTCATATGCTTTTAAAGTTGATGACATTTTTTTCTGGCTCCGAATATGGTCTATCTTAGGGAATATTCCATGTGCACTCGTCAAGAACATATTCTACATTGTTGGGTTCCTCACCTATAAATGTCAATTAGGTCAAATTGGTTGGTAGTGCTGTTTAAGTCTTCTGTATCTCTATTCGTATTCTATCTTCTTGTTCCATCAGTTGCAGAGAGACAAGTATTGAAATCTCTAATTATTGATTTGAGTATTTCTCCTATAATAGTATTTTTCACTTTATTGAGTACAGTGAAACTCTGTTTTTTGATATATACACATTTAGTATTGTTATGCCTTCTTGATAAAACTGACCCTTCTGCCAGATTCACTCTTTATTCTTTTTCAGCCTTGACTTTTATAGATTGCACTCTTGCTCTCTGTTTTTAAATTGATTTTGGCCAATGAGAGACACTAGCTGGACACCGGAGTATGGAAGAAAAGATGTTTGGGTACTTAATCCTTCCAGCTCCTCCCTGCTGGGCTGCAGGTTGGTAGTGGCTATGTTCCTCTATGAAGGCACCATAGGTGACTATCAGGCAGGTGGCTGTCTCCTACAGTAATAAGTCTCCTTGGGCTCTGGTAATCTCTCTTTCCCCCTACCCCTCAGGCCTAAGGGTGATAATAACTCTATGATTAGTTCTGGGTGCTTCACCATCACTTTTTGTTTTCTGGTAACCCTGTCCACATCTTTGTAAACAGCCCTTTCACTAAGCACCCTTTAATAACCTCTCTTCAGTATGCCATTTGTTAAGTGCTGGGGATTCTTACTGATATAACATGTGCTGTAGTACTAGCTTAAATTATTTATGTAGAAATTATTTGGTTCTTCCCATCCTACTCACTGGTTCAACCAAGTTCATCACTCAACATCAGGCACTTGAAAAAGCAAAAAGGGGTCTATTTGGATGTTTTCATTAGAGGAAGAAGAAATAATGACTATCTGTTAACTCTTAAACACATTGCCAGCGCCCCAAATTCTCATACCTAGGCACTGTTTCTTAGGGATTGTTGTAGATGATACTATGTGACATGCTAGACTCCCCATGGACCAGAAATGAGCTGCAGTGGTCCCTCGTTAAGCATCAGGTCTCATGGTACAGGAGCTGCAGACATAGCGCTCACCACAGCAGCCCTAGGTTGCAGTCGGAATAGAGATCGTATTGTGTTTTTTTCCCACTTCATCTCATTTGTCAGAAAATGTGCGGTATTTGGTTTTAAACAGAGGAATTATGATAGGTTCCCTATACAGGAGTTAAACGCAGGACAAACGGTATTGCGGAGGAATGGACAATGGCGAATGCTTAAAATTCTACGGCAGGGCATTAGAATGAGAAATTCTCATGTTTTTCTTGAATCTGAAGACAGTGATATGCTGAAATGTGTTACCTCCGATTTAGATCGAAAGATCTTTTGAGGAGTAGATTTTTTTGAAAAATTTACAAAAGATGAAAAAGCTGAGAATAGGCTATACTTTACAAAAGCGTCCAGGTTTAGGGGACTTAAACCCGTCCAGAAGTGTTGCAAAAAAGAGGAGCAACAGTCTTCTACCGAAAGCCAAAACCATCTGACCTACTCAGTGTTTCCATACACCGGATTAGCCTCATTTTTGCAATTGCCTGGATGAACAATAGGCATCCTCGCTCTCAACAAGAGTGGCCAGCACCAGCGCCAGAAGAAGAGGGGATGGCGCGGCTCTGGGTGTGAAGGAGACACCCGCTCGGGACTCACAGTACCAGGGCTCTTTCCTCAAGCTCTGCCCGAGGATAACCCCGCTGTCCCTAGGCCTTGCTCACCTCAGCCTCCGTATCAGTTTTGTTTCCCATCGAGGCCCCGCCTTCCGGCCGGACGCACCAAGTAAAGCTCCAAAACAGACAGAAAGAAAGAAAAGGCGTATCGCGCGCCGCGCTCCTGGCCGGCAGACTCTCGCGAGAACTCGCAGAGCGCGGGCGATTCCTGTGGAGACTTCGCGAGCGGACCTCCGGGGGCGGGCCGCGCCGTAGCCCCGCCCTTCCTGAGCGCGGGCGCGCCGTGGCGGGAATTTTGCATGGTTCGGACTCCGAACCCCACGGACTCCGGGGCTTGGTCAAGACCCCCTGGGCGGATGTCGGGGACTGAAAGTGTGAGCAGGTACGACGTGCACCAAACAAGGGGTGCTCGGTGCACAAGACGCCGACTTCTCTCGCCCTGTGCCCGCCCCGCGCCGGCTGCTGCCCTGTGCGGACCTGCCGGGGCTTGACCCCCGGCTGGGAGGGAGTGGGGATGGCGCCGGGCCTTCCTGATCCCGCCCCGAGTCTGCAAGGGAGCTTTCCAAGACCCTGCCGGCTCGGTGCGGTTCAGTAATGGAGCCGAGGGCACAGGTCGAGGCGGGCTCGGGAGTTGTAGCTGGATCTGTCCTGCAGACATCTTTTCCTCTTCACCCTGTCCCGGCCTGCAGGCTCCGACCTAGGAGGAATTTTAAGTTTCTGCCTCAGCCTGTCGGGGATGCATTCCGTCTGAGTTCTGGCAGCCTCGATCTCAGGGAGTCGGTGGAGGGGAGTTGTTGAGATTTGGCTTCCCGGTTATTTTCTTTGTGCTGGGGAACGTTTTGGGAACTTTATGAGGTCACCCCATGCTCTCGGCCCGCCTCACTTCCAGGGATCGCATCACAACTTATTTGGAGCCCTTAATGACAATTCTAATGAACCCCAAACATTTCAGGACATGAATTAAACAATGGATGACTGTTCTGCTGCGTCGACGTTCCTGACCGACAGCTTGGAATTAGAGCTGGGGACAGAATGGTGCAAACCTCCTTGCTTTTCTTGTGCTTTTGACGACAGAGGAGGAGGAAAACATTTTTCTGGAGAGTCCTACCTTTCCAGCGGAGCCCTTAAGCGGTAGGTAAAAACTCAGACTTGCTTTTTCCCTCATCAGATTTTTCTTCAGTTTGTTAGGAACGTTATTTAATTAAGATTTCAGTCAAACTTTGATGTTCAAGCCATGTTTTTGTAAATCGGCTTGGTGTATTATACGGATGCAAGCTTTTAGCTCTGTTACTGGTTTCCTGCTTACGACGTACCTAAAAGGGTTTTGGATATGAGGAACTTCCGTGCTACGTGATGTCCTCTTACCTCACTGCTACTTCAGTTTTCGGGGAGGGAGCTGGCCACTAACTTCCCTTTTACTTAAAGTGAATTCTGAACTACCTGAGCTTTTTGAAATATTTCCTTCCAAAACATGAAATAATATTCCGGAGCTTCTCAGTAATTCTTAAGTAAGACACATTTTTTGTTGCCCAAGTTTCTTCTAATTCTCTGTGTCTACACATATAGAAGTCTTACAGATTTACTTTTTTTTGGAAACTTTCTAATAAATACCCCAGATTGTGTAAGTCCACAGGAATGGTATTCTTCAAAGTTCTTGCCTTGGGCAGATGTACACATATTGTAGTAAAACTGCTGTTACTGAAATATTTTGGGAATACTTGCTGAACCAATTTCAGTCATAATGGAAACCATTTTTGTTGATTTTATAGTTGTACCTTGTTTGAGATGTTAAAAGGGATTACACAGAATAACTTCTAGCTATTTTAAAGTTAAATGTCCCCTCAAAGGATGAAATTCTACAACTGAAGACCACTATTGAAGACAGGCAAAAGTATGTTCCCAGACTCCTTTTCATGTTTTTCCTTTAAGTTACATTGCTCTTTAGTTATTGTTTTTTTAATCACTAGATAGGACTGAATTTTTAATACAATCTAGCTGTAGTATTCCTGAATATGTAACATGATACTACGGCATATCCTGACTTTATAACCTCATTGTTGGCATGCCATGTATAATATGGATTCACATAATGTCAAAAAAGACATTCTCTCAGTATGGGATTTAGCACTCTTTTTATGAGACTAAATCAGAGTTTGCATTTCAGATTAATTTTGAATCTTGATCCTTTACCAACTAATTTTGAAGAGGATACAGTGGAAATATTTGGCATTCAGTGGGTTACTGAAACAGCATTAGTGAATTCGTCTAGAGTGCTCTTTCATTTATTCAGGTATGTTTTTTTTAACTGCATTTGAGTGTAGATACTGTTCAGTTTTGTAAGTTACATTGCTGAATGGTTTCTAATACTGATATTACAAAAGTACCAGTAGAGTTGTGCATGTTGCTCACTTGATTATCTTATCAGTAACAACAATCAAGCAGTAATGTTTGATGGAGTAATGATTTTAATGAGTGTTTTTAAGTGAATATTTATTCTTTCTCAGAATATTCTTCTGTATTTGACATCATGTATTAAAGACAATTTTTAAGGCTTTAAACTGTAGTATAATTTTGGAAGAAAGCTAAAATACTTTTGTTGCTTGATAGCTATAGTCTTTCAGTGATTTTTAGCACATGAACTCAGGCTTTCCGAATGCATGTTTCAGACTGCAATTGAAATATGGTTAATTAATATGACTAATTTGGACAACATTAAAAAATTTTAATGAAAACTTTCAGACATACACAAAGGTAGAGAGAATAGTATAATGATCCTTCACATACTCTCCCTCAAGGTTTTATCACATTTCCTTCATCTGACCCTTCCCCTCTTTTTTTTGCCTTAAGTGTCTTTAAGCAAATTCTAGGCATCATGTCATCTCACCCCTAAATATTTCAGTATGTGTTTCTTAAAAATAGGAACTTTTTTTAACATAAACACTATCTCATTATCACAATTAACAAAATTGAAATAATTCATTATCATTTAAAAACCAGTCCCTATTCAGCTTTTAGATGATTTTTGAAATGGAGTCAGTTATTGAAGGCAAATTATTATCCAAAAATACATCAGAGTGTATATAGGTATATTTAAATGGAAATGGAAGGGTGGAGACCTTGTGAAGAGACATCACTGTGTCTGTACCATGTTATATGTTTTATTGGGAGAATAGGCTGAGTGAGTGATTCTCTGTAATCCTAAACATTACAGAATGAGTTGAGTCTTTATCCAGGACATGGGTCTTGGATGTGGGTCAATCTTCTAGGAGTTGAAAGGCAACTAGGAAGAATGGCAAGATAAGATTACTTTCAGGAATGAAAGTGGAACATCATAAATATAGCTTTCCCTAATAACTCTAGTCTGTATAATTCAGTTTCTTTTCTGAACTCCTATTGTATTATTATATGATACAATTTAGCATTTCATTAGGTAACTGTTAACCTAGGATGTTTTATATAAGTATTTTAAAATTCTTAAAGATATAAACAGTATCTCATTGATAGTGAAATCTATGATATTTGATATAGTTTCTGAGATATGCAACTTTTAATAGGTTATTTGTGAAAGGTCAGTCAAAGGCATGTTTTATCTTCTCTCAGTCTTCACTACCTGAAGCTGACCCTGTAATAAACATTCACGAAGTATTAAACATCATTCACTAATGGGAATCATTGAAGCTCTGTAATAGATTTGGAAACATTATTTATGTAATTGTTACGTGCTTTAAACTATTCTAAAATTAACTCTCACCTTACGTTTTTTAAATTAGGCAACAACTGTACAACTTGGAAACCTTATTACAGGCCAGCTGTGATTTTGGTAAGTTTTAAGTGTGTTTAATGGCAAAAAGGAATGGTGCTCTATTACAGTAAATTACACATGGGTCTTTGATGCATAATTGGGATATCATATCATCGTGGAGAAAGTATTAGGTCAGAAGTTAAGTATACAGTGTATTTAATGTTCAGAAAAAGTAGGACACTTGAATTTTGTTGTGATTGAGCTTTATAGTATTTTGCCAAATCTGTAGGTAAAATTTATTTAAGGCTAAACATCTCTGAAGTGAATTAGTAACTTGCTTTGGGGGTGGGGAGTGGGACGGAGAACTTTGAAATAGAAAGTGCCAGACTTTGTTGTCTTCTTGCTCTGCTTTTCTGCTTTCTGTTTGTGACATTTAGTGGACTACTGATTCTTTGAGGATTGGTATAGTTAAGATAGTGAAGGGAATTGCGGGGCATTGTGGTTTAGTGCAGGCTAACTGCTTCTCCTTTCCAGCAGTGTTGGTGCAGTGTAGTATTTAGAATCATGGCCCTGTGGTCAGCCTGAGTTCCAACCCTAGCTAATTGTAGATCTCACACCAGGTACTAGTTCCCGCCTCACTGACTTCTTGTGAGAGTTAAATGACATAATGCAAATTAGGTGCTTAGCCTGGTGTCTCTTGTTAGTGATACCCAGCAGCTAAAGATCACCTGACACACCTTTGGTCAAAGAAAGATTTAGTAGATTACAGAAGCAAGGAGGAAATACACATCATGAGGAACAGGTGGGGCTTCTCAGTAAGCGGGGAGGAGGGAGGGGCTTGTGATGGGATTTGGGCTTGTGCTGGCTAATTTGGATGGAGTTTAAGGGGGATAGGACTTTATTCCGGATTGAATGTTGTTAAGCAGGTGCATGTTGATGATTGAGTATGTTAATTTTAATCTAGTAGGTGGGACAAAGGGATGCTAGAGAGAGTTCTAATTAGTAAAGAAGCAATAGTCATGTTAGCCGGAAGGGGATGTTCTGTTTTTGTATTTTTGTGTGTGTGTGATTGCATAGTGCCTTGTTTCTCTCTTCAGACATGATTACAGAGAGGATTTGTTTTTGTCTTGTTTCGCCATAATCATGGAGTGGCCCTGCCTGATTATTTTGTATATTTTACGGAAGCTGTTTAATTTCAGTAGGGAACATCATGGCCTAGCTGTTAGCCATCAGCTGTCAGGGCCGTTTTATTTGTTTTCTCAGTCTGTGCTCAGTAAATGTTGAGTATTATTGTCTTATTATCACCTGAGTCCCTGCTTCACGCCAGGTGCTGTGTAAGGCGCTGATGGATCAGAGTGAAAAAATATGCTGCTGAAGAGCTGGCAGTGAGTCGGACAGATAGACATGCACGCTTGGTCAGCATGGTACATGGAAAAGTGTGGTGACAGAGGCATGTGCAGGCTGTTGCGGGAGCCAAGGGCTTCATCTGTTTATGTGCCCATCATGGAGTGACGCCACATTGGAGTCTTCAAGGATAAAGAGAAATTAGCTAGGCAAAAGATTCTGGGAAAGTTTTGGGGACAGGAAGAGTTCCAGGTAGAAACAACCATATAGAAAAAGACACTGAGGTGTGTAAAAACATTAAAGTTCAGAGAGCAGGAAGTAAATAGTAATTGTGTTTGATTGGATCAGAGTGTGTGTGGGAGTGATGAATTTGGAAGGGAGGAGATTGCAATTACCTTTGTAAACCATGCCAAAGAGTCAGAATTTCATTTTGAAACCCCTGGGGAGCCTCTAAAGTATTATAGTTGGGAACAGCAAAAATACTTTTACTGTATAGAATAACTTAATTAAATTTGGTGCATGGAAGGCGTTTATTATACAAAATCGTTCCTTGAAAAGCACTTAGTGACCTAAATCCACTACAGTGGACTGTTTGTTGAAATGTTTGTTTGTTACACTGACATTTTGGCAGTTTTTGTGGCTTTAAAAAACTTTTAATGATAGGTTTGTTGGATATGTTAGCAATATTAAGGGTTATCCCTAGATCAGCTCACCCCTGCCATGCTCCTTTGTCAGGGCTCTGTTAATGAACTCACGTGGCTAGCCTTGGCCCTCAACCTTCCCCAGAAAACCCCTAATGTGGGGTCACTTACTGAAGTGCGTATGGTTCTTGTTTTCATATTCATTATATTCCTCAGATTGCTTTCTAGTTGAGGCAAAATAACATTTAATAATGTATGTTTTGCTGAACCTGTTCTTAAACATAGCTGTTGGTGTTACCTAATTCTCAGATACTGTATTTTATTGTCCCTAGACATATCATTTGGATTTCCTTAAATTCTCCATTTCTGTTCTTTTTTTCATCCATCTTGAACACCTGGAGTGTGTGTATAACCGCTGTTCTTAACTTCTTTGACTGTGGATTCTTTCATTGTTCTCATTTCTGGGTCTGTTCTTATTGATTGATTTTTTTCCTCCTAATTCTGTGATATATTTTTCTGCTTCTTTCAACCTCTAGTAATTTTTTATTGTGTGATGGACATTATAGATTTTACATTGCTGCTTTCCGGATTTTCTTGTACTCCTATAACTAGTGTTGAATTTTGTTTTGGCTTGCCATTGAGTACTTGTAATCCATTGGATCTTTTTGAGGCTTCTTTTAAATTTTGTTAGGACTTTTAAAAAGTAGCCTTTAATCTAATGTTAATTTAGCTCTAGTTAGGCTTCTGAGGATTCTTTCTGGTGTATTATGACTTTTTTTCATTCTTGCTGGTGGGAACTTGAACTGTTTCCTGGCCTGTGTAAGCCTTGTGGAGAATTGTTTTCTTGTGTTTTCCCCTGGCCTCTGGTAATTTTTTCTCGTGCTTGAACAGATCGATATTCAGCCAGGACTCAGTGGGGATCCTCTGTCCATTTCCAGAGCTCTTTTTTCTGTAGCTTTTTTCTTCTTTGGCACTTTTGCCCTGCAAATTTAGACCACTCTAAACTGAGATCTTGTGTCTTCTCAACACAGTGATTTGGACTCTGGGTTCTCTCTCTCTGTGCTGCAGCATGGAAACTATCTAGGTGCGAAGCTGATGCAGTCTTGGGACTTATCTTCTCTCTGGGATAGCAGTCCTGTGTTGTCTTGTGTCCAATGCCTGAACACTTGTTTTATGTTGTTTTCCTAGTTTTTTAGTTTAAGGTGGGAGGTGGCTAAATCTAATCCTTTTACTCCATGTTGGCTGGATGCAGGCATTCACAGCAGTTTTTATGAGAGTAATGCCTTTAGGGACTGAGAAGTGTGAAACTGGGGGTCACATGACTTTTGTAGGTGAAATATAATTAAGCTATAAAAATGCACTGCACTATTTAATATTTACATATTTGCACAGTATCTTTACATTGATACTCCTGTTGGTTTTGCCAAAGGAGTGGCCATGTTTGCTCATTTGAATTTAAATTTAGAAATAAGTTTTGCTGTATGTTTAATATGGATGAGAATTTGTTGCCTGTAATTCTGATCACATTTTCTTTGCTTTTGTTTAGTGATTGTCTCTTACTCATTTTCACTATAGTAGTTATCACTGTTTTGTACATAATAACCACCCAGATAATTTTTACTGATGTAAATGTTAAAGTGAGGGAAAGATGGCATGACTGGAAGTTGGGAGAAAGACAGGCACTATTAGTAAGTCATTTGGGTCCTTATAAATCATTATAAGAAGTTTTGATTTCATTCTAAATACAGTAGCTATCTTTTCATGGATTTTGATTTAGAAGGAAGAGAAATTGATATATTTTTAAAGCAGTTTTGTACTTAGATTATAGAGGGGCAAACAAGGATCTGAGAAGACCTGTTAGGAGCCCTGTTGCAATAAATCAAGAGATTATAGGAAGAGGGGATTCAAAATGACAGCATAGGAAGACCTTGAACTCATCTCCTCTCACAGACACCACAAATTTACAACTGCATATGGAATATATTTCTTCTGAAACGGATCTGCGAACTGAATAAGCAGTGCTTCTACAATAAAAGATAAAAGAGATGCATCAAGAAGGGTAGGAGAGGCAGAGACTCGGTCTTGCCCAGGACCCCACCCCAGGCATGGTATCCCCAAAATGGACAGGGACACCAAAAATATGAAACTTTCCCTCAAGATGTGAAAGGACTGTGCCACTCTGACGCTTGGATCTGGCATCAGAAGGATGAGTCCCCAAAATGTCTGGTTTTGAAAATAACCAGGGATTAAGTCTAGGGGAAACATAGAACTCTAGGGAATGGAGAACCTGCTCTTAAAGGGCTCATGTGCACCCACTTACCCTGAGATCCAGTGGAAAAGCAACAGTTTGGAAAGTACCTAGACCATAAGTGAGGGAGACCCACTTATTAATCCTAAAGTGGCTGCCAGAGAGGTAGGAACCTACAGTGACTTTCTCCAGGGACAGAAACACTGGTGGGAGCCAGTTTTGCAACCTTGTTCTAACTTGCTGTTGACAGAGCTGGTGGGCGCCATTGTTGGTGACCTCCTTCAGTGGGTTTGCTCTGTGCCCTGCCACCCGGCAGAGCAGCTGCACCACAACTGGGACAGGTAAGCCCATCACACCCTGCCCTCACTGTGCCACAGCCACAGCACCGCCACAGCTGGTAGGGGCATGTGGTTCACACAAGGGATGCCCCTTGAGCACTTGTTCCTGTGGGCCAGGGAGATTGTGCTTCTGGGCCCCATGGATCATCTACACAAGACTACTCCTTCAAGACTGTGAGAGATAGCTGTTTAGCCTAATACATATAGACAGACACAGAGAGTCAGACAAAATGAAAAGATATAGGAATATGTTCTGGACCAAAGAACAAGACAAATCTCTAGAAAAAGCCCTTAATAAAATGAAGGTAAGCAATCTATCTGATAGAGTTTAAAGTAATGGTCATAAAGGTGCTGACCAACCTCAAGAGAATACTGGATAAACACGGTGAGAACTTCAACAAAGAGATAGAAAATACAACAAAGTGCCAAATAGAAAACACTCTGCAGGGCTTCAACAGCAGGATGGATGAAGTAGGTACATGAATCAGCAAGCTAGAAGACAAAGCA